GTTTCGTGCCACTTTTGTAAGTAACCACGCCCCCGTCCAGGCCACGCCCCCGTCCAGGCCACGCCCCTTCCACTTTTTTCATCACTCGCCATTGCCATGTATGAGGTCACTGGAGGCAGCAGAGTGACTTCAGTTTACAGCTGGGGCACATTGTTTGAATCCATCATTGACGTTCAAATATTCCGACAGAGTAATTAGGGTTGAATTTCAGACAAATTATACGGCAGGTCTTTCCAACTGAATGACTAAAGTCATTCCATGATTTTGTCTCAATACACCATATTACATTTTAAACAAAACATGAGTAGAGTCAGGTTTAATTTATTATGGATCTTACCATTCCCGTTAGTTATTTTCAAGTCTGAAGAATTATTTGGACAAATTAACACTATTGTAAACAAGACTACAACTCAGTAACCAGACTCCAAAGATAAATTCTAATTTTCTTCCTGCAGATGCTTTGTCACTCTTCCACTAATCCCACCTGTATGGAAGTTGTCAGTTTTATTTCATCCATCCATCTTCTACCACGACCCAGCCCCGGATGAGCGGTAGAAGCGGTTTTATTTTCCACTTTTATTATAAATGAATTCTAAATCAGTCAGTTGTTTTATTTTGAACTTACATTCTCTCTGGCAATGACTGTTCTGTCTTTTGTCAAAAATAGACATGAGGTCCTTATCCGTCATTGGTTGAATAGAAATTTTATGTATCAAAAGTATGTGTGGTATCGGTGAGTACTAAGTGTTATTTACTGGTCAGAAAAAAAGTGGTATTGAACATCTCGATGTGAAACGCTACATGATGTTCAGTGTACAGTATAAATGGATGTTTGCTTATGGCCACAGTGCTGCTTTAACATGTTGAAATGACAAGACGGGTTTAATGCCTATATTGTGAACTTTATAATGTAACAAAAGACATTAACAAAAAGAACAAAACAGCTTCTGTCAGTTACAGCGAACATACATTTGTTTTTCTTCCATTTTTTTTAAATCAATGTTACTCCTCTTCGAGAAAGTTGTCTCCACCTGTAAAGAAAACTACAGTTACATTTTAAACAAATGTCCAGATAAGCAAAGAGACATCACACTGAATTTATTATCAAAATTTGTATTGAAGCACACTGAATAAAATTCATTTGATGTCCACCCACTTTTTGGCAGCTTTGAGCTCAGGCTCACAAATGGAAGTCATTTCGAGAATTACTTAATACTGTATACAAGTCACACATGATCACTTATTTAAAAAAAAAAAAAAAATCAGCAAACAGTGGCATCCATCCACTGAAGAGAAGAATCTTAATAGAATTAACATAGCTGACCTTAAAGGATTTCTCACTTTTTTGGCGAGCAGACCTTGGCCTGGTGGGCTTGTAAGACAGCGATGGCCTCGTCCACCTGATCCAAAAGAACCAAGAAAATAATTATTTGAATGTTTTTTTTTTGTTTTGTTTTTCACAATCATGGATATGGGTCAGTTTTTGCCTTGCAGTGGAGGGACTCTGGTGACTCCAGCATGTGTAGCAGCTCTGAGTTGTCAATTTCTAGCAGCATTCCAGTGATTTTTCCAGCCAGGCTTGGGTGAAGGGCATGGATCAGAGGGTACAGACGCTCACCTGAAGCACAGCGCGCACGCACACACAGCATACTATATGTTCAAAAGAAGCCTTTCTTTCATTCAGTCATTCAGACATCAGACCTTTTAGACCAAGGGCGGGCAATTCATTTTGAGAAACTGAAATGTTTGTTGAAGGCCACACCAACATGCTAACCTCAATCCATCCGAGCAAACGCCTGTCCTACGTCATCTTCACAAACTCGATAGGTACTAAGCGGATATTAATATGCAGCAGATACATACCCCCGTGGCTCTCGAGGGTCCTTCTGCAACAGGGCACTACAGCGATAGATTTTAACAAAACAAGCCAACTTAAATGAATCCAATCTCACTTTGTTCAGTCAATATTGTTGAAAAAAAAAACATCCAGGCGTTAGATACTGCTGCTCCTTCTGGTGTGGGCACCTCACCCACCTGGGGGGCAGTATCATCCAGACATATGGAGACGATAAAGAACCTACCTATGAGTATTGTTAGTGTCTGTCTACATGTGTTTCTCCACCGTTTGTTCAAATTTGGCAACGACTGTTCTGCCCGTCGATGGCATTTGCAACGTTTGTTAGCATGAAACTGAAACAGACTTAAAAAAGAGCTACGTGGTTGTTTATACTACACAAATGTCATTTTATTTTGCGTTTGAGAGTCAACTTAAACTGGGAGTGGCAAGAAACAGCTTGAGGTCTTTTTGAAGAATTGTTCACATGTGCCCAACTCCTGCTTGTTGAGTGAGTCGAGTTCACTCACTCCATACCAAAAAGCTGCTTCTGGTCCATAAGTGGTGCTGCAGCCAACATTGAGGCAGTTAGTGGCTCCATTCCTTGAGCATGTACGGGCTGCTCCATCACAGGGGCAGGAACCACCTAAGAAAAAACCTTACATCCTTACAACAGCAACCATTTGAGACAGAGAAAAGACTGGCACTTAAGTACAGTGGTTCCTTCACCTGCAGAATTTATTTGTTTGTTACCATGAACAAAACAAAAAGAAATAAAGACAGGGATGCAAGGACCAATGCGCATGGAGGCAACCGATAATGTAGTACGAATGGACCAGCATGCACATCTGTAGTCAGCATGAGCACAATGCGGTAAAAATAGACAAATGAAAAAGAGGGGGGGGGGGGGGGGAATCTGTAATCATCTCTAGCTGTTACATCTGCTGCATTCCAATGCAGTCCACCACGGATTCAGACATTAAATCACAGCAAAAGCAGTGGCCGACGTTTGGCCACTCATGTCAACGAGTTGACGAACCTCAGTTCAATCGGGTTTGGCTGCATGTGATTTTTTGCACTTGCACTTGAGTGGTGGAGTGTCTGAAGTGCACTCATCAGTCACATTTTTGCTCCCAACGCAAAGCCAAAAATGAAATAAAAATTGAGCGATGGCTCGCAACACGAAAAACTTGCGAGTTAAGGTACCACTGTCCTGATATTTCAGAGCTCGGTCCTGAAATAAGCAGAGTACCTGTAGTCTTGTCATGGCGGGTACAGAGATGACCTGCTGAGGGTTCCGCACCGCCGACGGGTACTTAAACTGACCGCTTCTTGACACACCAGACATGTCAGCTCGGCCACATGATGTCTGGGTTCCAATGTTATCTAATTAAAGACAAATGTGTTTCGAGCCGTGCCAACCATGTCCTGGCGGGCATCAGAAGCCGGGACTGACTTGTCTTTTGTGTGGAACTGCTGATACGTGGAGCCTGAGTGGAGGCCTGTCTCACAGTGGCGATGGGAGTGGAGCCCTGGCGAGGGGCAGAGCCGCCAGCGTATTGGGATGAATACGGACCTGAAAACATGCAGGCAGCACCATTTGTGTCTAGATGCGCCTTCAGTGTTTCAACACATCCGCGTGGTCCCGAGTTATCACTTCACCGTGCACTCTTGGCGGCTGTCCCGTCCAGCGAGGCGCCGATCTCATGTTGCTGATAGCACTGTGCTCATAGAAGGTGCGCGTGGACGCCTGAAAGACAAATGCCGGTTTCAAATGAAACGACAAGAAGCGTATTAATAAATTACAAATTTGAGAGGGAGGAAAAAAAAAAATCAGCCTACCTGCGGCACTGTCACGTAATAGCTGGTCTGATGGTACGAGTCGATGAGGGGACTGTTCATGCTCCTCAGGGTGGCCAGTCTCTGCATGTACTTGTTGGTGAGAATGGCCTTACGCTCCTCCCTTCGCTGAGCCAGTGCCACGTACAGGGGCTTGGTAGCAATAATTCTTCCATTCATCTCAGTTACTGCTTTTGTCGCCTCCTCGGGGGAAGAAAAGCAGACAAAACCAAAGCCTTTGCTTTGGGAGCCATCGGTCATGACCTACAAGACGAGAGAGGTCAAGCACAATCAACACGAAGGACCGTCACACCTGGGACTTTCTGCTCGCAGACAGCACGGGTCCGCTCAAACTCCAAAAAAGTCAAGGCGCCGCTTAATGTGCTTCTAAATGTCTCATCCCCAGCACATACCTTTGCACTTGTTATGGTACCATAGGGGGAGAACTCCTTCCGGAGTCTCTCGTCATCGATGCTGTCATCCAAGTTCTTCACATACAGATTGACACCCTGAAAGCAGAAAGTTCAGATGTGTGCCCCTTTTCAAGAGATAATCAATTATGCTAACTGCCGTACAGAAGTCAGAAGTCAACATAGACGTAAGGCTAGGTAATATGGCTGTTTAAAAAAAAAAAAGTAATAGAAAATCCCATTTCAATGTATTTTTCCCCCCCACATCTGAATTAGCAAAACTGTTGAAATCATCGACCCGACTTGACTTTGTTATGAGCGGTACCTGATAGCGCTGGATGCGGTCCTGTTTGATTTGGTCGAACCTGCGCTTCAGCTCTCCCTGACGCTCCAGCCTCTTCTGAGCCCGCCCAACATAGAGGAACTTCCCGTTGAGCTCCTTACCATTCATCTCATCCACCGCCTGGCAAAAACAAAAAGGGGTCACCACCACCATGAGTTCCCTTCAAATAGTCACACTTTGCCATTTGGCTTCCTTCATCTTGTGTCAATCTCGTTGTAGGTTACAAAATAGTTCTTGTACAGTGGTGCCATGACTTAAAAGTTTAATGAATTCCATGACCGTGCTCAAATCACTCTCATCACCTTTCCCCATCAAAATAATGGAGAATATCCGCTTTTTTCACCCTTTTTTCAGTCATTTTCTGAAAACCCACAGTTAAAAAAAAATAAATAAAAATCTGGCTAAATACCTGCACAAAAACTGAAAATGCGAGCAAAAAAATTACTAGTGATGGTGGCCAAAGGTGTAGTTTGCCATCACTTTGTAGTGGCGGTGTGCCTGGAGCTAACAAGTCCAAATTTTGTTCGGCACGCACACACACGCGCACACACACACACACGCACGCGCACGCACGCACGCACACACACACACACACACACACACACACACACACACACACACACACGTCGGCTTGTATCTCCAAAAATGATTAACTGGAGACACTTGTTAATAAAAAGAACCACTTTTTGCTGAGCTGCGTTTTCCCTGTCGTCGTTTGAACATGGCCATAGTAGCACAATTAAAATCCAACCACAAAGCCACCGAGAAAGCGAATATGAACTTGCCACGCTACCTTTTGCGCATCTTCATGGTTAGCATAGTTGACAAAGCCAAATCCACGCGAACAACCTTGCTCATCCTTCATCACGCGTACACTGAGAGTCTTGCCTGAAAGAAGACACAGTCATTTCATATCCCACGATTTAGGTCACTCAGCTCAGACAAAAAGCTGATTGGGACATTCACTCTTACCAAATGCAGAAAAGACATCTTTTAGATTGTCATCAGTGTAGTCTTCACCAAAGTTTTTAATGTAGACATTGGTGAATTTCATAGCTTTGGTGCCAAACTCCTGCTCTCGGTCCTTGCGAGACTTGAAGTGGCCAACAAAACTGCAGACAGCGCCGCAGTCAAAGTTAGCTTGGGGGAAGGGGAGGGGGAAGCGCGTCATTTAATTGTCCTACGGGTAGAAAGAAGCCTTTTGGGAGTAAACATTCTCTGTACTTCACATTTTGAACACAAACGCCTAAACTGAGTTTACATGGAGACTTTTTTTTTATTAATCTGTCCAAATGAATGATTTCTGGTCGCCTGTTTACAGGTGGCATGATCTCTTCGGATCCGCCGTTTACATGCTCCGCTCTGTTAATCGGATCAGTCATGTGACAGGCGGAGATCGATGTAAACATCACATGATTTATCAAGATGCTGTTACAGCAATCCCTCGTTTATCGCGGTTAATGGGGACCAAAACCACCCGCAATAAACGAAAATCCGCGAAGTAGCGACCAATTAACATATTACTTTTTTTTTTTAAAGTCTGCAAACGATCCGCGAGAAGCTGCGAAAGTCAGCAAAACAACAGCGAGTCACATAGAGCAACATATACAGTACTGTATTCCATGTATATGGAATTTTTTTTTTATTTATTTATTTATTTTTTATGAATATGTTTGAAAAAATCCGCGATGCACTGAAGCCGCGATAAACGAACCGCAAAATAGTGAGGATCACGGTATTTCGTTGTTTTTTTTCAGCCCAGTCGTTGATAATCTTAACACTTTTATCAAAGCAAGACCTTAGAAGTACTTGAAAACGAGTTCGCCCATCCAGACAAGCTCAAGTAAGATGCTGCTATTTGCAGTTGCTGCGGGCCTTGATTATGTTACCTTTATTATGTCATACAGGCCTGATGTCGTCATATACACACAGTACTGTTGCTTCAGAACAATTCTTGCCTACTCTACCTACCACTGCCTCTCTGTTTACACAAAGATAACCAACCTATTAACAGATCCACTACCAATTGATTGACCGACGGGGAAATCTGAAATGTGTTCTCAAGCAAATTGGTTGGTGTGGTGCAGACTCCGCATGATTTTTTTTGGTCCCCTTACTGAGCAAAACAAACTCTGTAAAGTGAGTGGTGTCGAGTCATTCGTAGCTGAAATGCACGACTATTCAATCTGCACCACTCTTTTCCTAACCTTGTTATCAGGTTGCTCAACAAACGCAACAGATCAATATCAGACATTAATGTACTCACACTTTTCTATCATTCAGCAGCATTCCATTCATGGTCTTAATGGCACGGTTTGCAGCTTCCTGAGTCTCAAAGTGAACAAAGCCGTAGCCTTTTGAGCCTTTTTCATCACAAACGACCTACGGGGAAACACAGCATTCAACAGTTTGAGTTCGGGAGGGGGCAATTCATCAAAACTGAATTGCAATTTCAATTTTGGCTTGTCTCGATCTGAAAAACACTATAAACAAAGAAAAACAATGAATATGTGCATACATGCACACGTTCGCAACGTGAAAGTACCTTTACTGTACAGTTGAACTTGACCAGCGAGCATGTGACGTGATGGGATGTGATTCTGCCCTTCCTGAGCATGCTTACTGTTTAATAACACCTCAGTTGTAGTTAAAAACATGAGCAGTGCTAATGTTAAAGTCCATGTAAAAAGAAAAATCGCATTGACATGCTAACGTGACATTAGTATGGAATGCATATACAGTGATCCCTCGCTACTTCGCAGTTCGTTTATTGCGGGTTCAGTGCATCGCGGATTTTTTCAAACAATTTGTTTTTTTTACATATACATGGAGTACAGTACTGTATATGTTGCTCTATGTGACTTGCTGTTGTTTTGCAGCTTCCCGCAATTTTTTTTTTTACCGGTTTATGTTAATTGGACGCTACTTTGCGGATTTTCGTTTATCGCGGGTGGTTTTGGTCCCCATTAACCGCGATAAACGAGGGATTACTGTATACAAAAAATATTACAATTCTAAGGATTTGTATTCTTCCCAAGCTATGAGAAAAAGTAGATTTATTTATAGACCTCAATCACAACTTTATCTGTGTGTATGGCACTACACTGCCCCTAAGAGGCTAATACACACATAGCGGGAACCGCCAGTATTTATTTGTGTTTATTGCTATTATTTTAGTATATTTTTATTAGGCCTGTGCAATCTGGCCAGAATTTCATATTAATATTTGTGTCAGATATCCTGATAACAATATTACTATGGGTTCAGTGTAAATGAAGCTTTTTTTTTCTTTTTAGAAAAAACAAAATCAATCAATACAAAAGGATGTGGTCAGTGTCATGTTTTTTTTTTTTATCAGAACTTATTGAGACCCACCAACATTTACAAAGTCAGCAATACATTTATTTCAAGTGTGCTTTAATCAAATAATTTGACGCTACAAAGTGTTTTATTGCATTTGAGTGCTTTAACTGCATCATGTGTGTCAAGTCAAGTACAACTTTATTGTCAAATGTGCAGTATGTGCAACATACAGCACAGAGGAAATTTTTTCCCTCTCAAACAGACAACAAGAGGAGCCGCTGCGGGTGCCTGCACCGCCATCGTGTGTTGTTCTGTCCCAATTTGTCTGTGCCTTTTAATCGTCCCTAAATCGGGTTAAGTACCTACGGACACCCATTTCACTAACGACTGACAGCCACGTGTGTAATACGCCAATACGCTACTTCGAATGTGACGCGCCGCTTGTCTCGTGCATGTTCACCATGTTTGTATGCGGGAGGGAATGACTTCACTTTGCTTCAAGCAGACAAGAGGAGTGCTCGTCTTCCGTCCCAAAAAAATTTACACTTCGCTAGTCAGTCTGGTGACTGACGGTGTTTGTGTTGGGAGCTAAATGCTATCTTGGTTGACACTTAAACCGTTACAAACAATTCAATCCAGCCGGTTAAGAAAGCTGACTGTGTTATATGTCTCTCAATGCCCGACCACCAAGATGCTAATGCCCCCAAATTTGAGGTGTGGATTTCTAAAAATAAAGTTTTTATTCATATTTTATCATAGTAGCTATTTTTGTGTTATGAAATACTAATGTTGAGATGGTTATCACTAATACATGAAAAATATATAAGAAACAGTGATGTCATTTTTTGTTTGATTGGCGGCCAGTTTTAGCTGTAACAGCCAATCATGGCGTTACTGAAAATAAGGTCCGGTACGCAGGCACATATGCGATGAATACGTCCATATTTGCATGCGAGAGTCCTTCACATTTTTCAAAGCGTGGCATTGTGCAATGTTGCAAGAAATGTCATATGTTTTGTATTTTATGGATGACGCGTTTATCTCGTGAAGTGATAAAAACTTTGTAGTCAGTGCCTCAATGAAGAGGAAATCATCCTAAAATCCTTAAGACTTGGGCGATCATGCTAATATTTTCCAGGGGTGATGTCAACATAAATGTTGGTGATCATCGATCGCATTGTGTCGAAACACCAGCACTTACCTTGCAGGACAAAATATTGCCAAAGGCTGAGAAGGTATCATACAAAGCCTTGTTGTCAATGGTGTCATCCATGTTCTTGATGAAGATGTTGCCCACGCCAGACTTCCTGAGGCCTGGGTCACGTTGAGACCACATAATTCGGATTGGGCGTCCCTTGAGAACATCGTAGTTCATCGTATCCAAAGCACACTCCGCTAAAAGACAAAGAGATATTGGAGTGAAATAGCATATTCACTGCAAAAACTTAAGTTCAGAATACTTATTTAGGTCAGATTTATACATAAGCCGACTGAGGAAGTCGAGTTTCATTTGCAACCGTTCGAATTCTCTTTTATGTTTTTAGATACGTCTGTCAAGGTGTGATCAACTCAGGGCTGTGCTCTTCCTTAGATTCAAAATCCGTTCTGGGATGTCTTGTTGATATTATGAGAAATGGCACTTTCAAATTAATGCTCCTTTACTGAGACTACACTAAAGATATTTACAGAGAAAGGCGAAGTGACAAGAGGTACGTCAGAAGGCGCAACAACCATGTAAGTGAATGCAGGTTCAAATATAGCAACCATAAATAAACTCATTGTAAGCGTGACTTAAACACCATTGCTACACTTAAGATGGGACCTTTTATCATTACCTATGAAGTGATTTAAAAAGGTATTACTATATTTGAAGGCTTGAACTGCTTAAAATTGCTGCCCCCATTTTATAGGACATCAGAGAAACTAATGCTGATGTTTTTGTTTTTTGAAGTGCCGTGTCACAGCTTCACAAGACATTTTCACAGCATACACCAACAGTCAAATCAATTCACGACGAGGGATCTTCTTTTGTGTGTGTGCGTGTCGGGGGGTGAAGGGGAAAGAAAAAAAAACAATGGAACGTCACCATCAGCCGGTTGCTGGAAGTTTATATAGGCATATCCCAAGGACCTCCGTGTGATGATATCACGACACACACGGATTGACATGATTGGTCCAGCAGGAGAAAACTTTTGGTACAGCATGGCCTCTGTAACATCAGGATGCAGGTCCCCAACATACAAAGAGGCAAGGGGATAGGTTGGTCCGCTGCTATTCATCGTTGTTGACGGCTAGTTAAATAAAAAGTATGCACCCATTAACAGCCACATGTGAAAAACATTCAGGCAGAAGCTTTGATGACACAAATACATTTTACATTTGTTTAGAGGGGATGGGGGTGGGGGGCAAGTAAATAAAGCCTCACGTTGCTGATATATTAAACATATAGTAAATATGTGCTATTTTGATTCCCCTTTTTAAACTCCAGTACCAGATGAGAGATGGCAGACATCTATTCTCATCAAAATGTAGGTTAGATTTTTTTTTTTTTTTTTTTTTATAAAAACTAAAAGTAATGGGTGACTTGTGATTGATACTACCTAATTCAGAATTACAGTGTGATGGGAGCAAAACTCAACATCTCTTCATGCATCTTGATGTGGTTCAAAACATTCTGTCTTGCAACAGTAATCTGTCCCTTTCATTAATTTCTCCCTTTCATAATTTTGCTGCTGTAATTTGGGAATTCCTCCATTGTGAGACAAATAAAGGTTTTCTTATCTTAATCAACACTTTCAGTTAAACTTTGCGAATACAATAACTCAGCTCTGGCACAACTTGTAAAAAAAAAAACAACTTCCAAGTTAAATCTGAGACTTTAGATGTAGTTTAAAAAGTAGGTAGATAGTGACAATTGTAAGATTATGTTCAATACATATTTCTCAACAAGATTTAAGGACAATTGGACAAAAAAATGTTGGGCGTTCAAACGATATCGCGCCATGTGCACACATCTGCTAAACATACTTCACATATGCGTAGTTCGTAGAGTCTAAATCGTAAAAAATCGATGCAACCACAAGATGTGCTGTTACTTACAGCTTTTAAACACCCAGAAAGTTGAATTGCGGTGGGCATTAAGCGTATCTCGGGTCGTGAGGGAGCCGGATCACTTTTCCCAAAAGCGGGAGACTCTTCTCGTTTAATTACTGCGGCGGAACACCTGCATCAGTCCTCAATGTCACTTAACTAATAGGGCCTAGTACTCCGCGAGGGAAAGTAGTTCTTGAGGGGGGAAAAAAAAAAGTTATTTCAAATGGCCCTCTTGTGGACTTCACATGCATTCGACAACGATTGCAAAGTTTAGTTAAATGCTCAAGGCAACATTTGACTCAACTTTGCATCGTTATTATGAAACGACAGTAGATTTATCTTAAACGAAACTTTATTTCACTGAATGGTCTTTGACACGTTCCTATGTATTACATGTATAGTGAAACTAGAATGGTTTTAAGATACATAAACACAAAGCTAGAGTTACACCAACCATTGTTTATCTCCAAGTCATCATTGCTTTTTAGAACTATTCTAAATTTTCACAACCACGTGTGTGCACTGGGTAATAGACTGTTACAGAAGCAATTTTAGCCATAAGACTTGTCAGTAAAAACAAAGCAAGTAAATACCAGATATACAGACAGGCTTCGTTCCACATTCACTAACTGCATTTTCATCAAGCATAATGAATTTTTCTTTTTTTTTTTTAATGAACAAAACATTTCAATTCCTTGGAGCATTGTCAGAAGAAACAGCGTAATAACGTGGAATGGTGTCTTCAACTACAACATGTGGAATGTAGTGGTGATACACAGTATTGTGACACTGAGCTTCTTTCAAATGAGATGAAATGGCACCTTCGCATGATTTAGGAGGTGATCATTCCATCAGAGCAAACCCTGGATGAGGTTGCCTGATCTCAACTTGTATTTGTTAACACCAATAGGAAAATGGAATAAAGAGCGTAGGCCAGACACAAAGATGTTTTGTTGTTGGGAAAACAACCACTTTAAGAGGGATTTTTTGCAAGCAAGATTTGATACAGCGGGGTCAGACAGTTCTAAACAACTTGAGTTTTCTTTATGGATTACATACAGATGATAGTCAATTTTGCAAAATTATCTGCAGCCACAGGACACATTGAGCATCACTTGAAAAGTTAGTCAAACTAAAAAGTCAATCTACACTGAAGTTTGTGAAAGGTGGGGTGGTGGTGGTAATGCTTTTCAGGAAGGGGGGGGGGGCTTGGAATGTGATGCTTGAAATATATGAACCTTGATCGTTTAAGGGGCCCCTTTAATTTGTGAACATGTTCGAGGCGCATTACACTCAATATGTCAGTGTCACAATACAGCCTGCCTCCTTTCTGTATGAGCCCACAGCAGAATTGCATTAAGTTGAATACAGGATTGTACATGTTTCCAGAAAAGTCGAAACACAAACGGCTTTTTGGGTTGTGAAGCAAATGTAACACCTACCATCACAGTGTTTGCCAGTTTAATTACCATACAAATAAAACCCATACAATAAAACCTGTAAATACCATGTTGAATCACAATAATAAAAGTAACAAAAAAAGAATGGGGGGGAGAGAAAATGAGCCACAAACTAGCCGGGACAAAGGAATTTGGAAGGCCGATTAAAATTCACAACACCCCCCCCCCCCCCAAAAAATTTTTCCCCCCACAGCGCCCC